CAACGCAACCAGCCTCGTCGGCACACTGTGAGACGATCTCGAAGGCCTCTGGCCATGCCTTTACCAAGGCCGTAAGTTTGAAAACCGCGCTGTCGCGGCGGTCGCCTTCGTACGCTGTACGACGGGAGCAGACCTTAAGTGCGAAGGCCGTGTCTTCCGCTACTAGCGGCTGGGTGCTAGCGGAAGCTTTCCGCTTGAGCATCAGGCTGGACTCGTGCAGCACTGGCACGGGGCCCACAGAAGCGGGGCGAGTCACTGACAGCTCCCAGGGCCAGCTTGCATTTCGCGCAAACCATGAAGCTGATTCCCACGGCTGACGAGCACCAGCTCGGCGTGGTATTGACGACCAGAGGTTACTAACCTGGTCGTTGAAGTCGCCCTCCGGGGCGCTGCCCCTGGGCAGCATCCTTGACACAAGGAAGAGGAGCACTGCTCAAGCCAACGGCTGTTGTCCAGGCGGCTTGCAAGAAAGGGCTACCAGCACACGAACACAAGCGCACTCACTCTGGAAAGCTCAACTGAAGCGACGCGCTGCGACCCGCACCCTCCCCGGGCAGTCCTGAGGGAGGAGAGGAGGAAGAGAGAGCTGAGAAGGAAGTGAGGCTTAAAAGGCTGCGGCAATCACGCACTGGAGAACTCGAGGCCTCGCTGGTGGCACTGCACCTAGAGCTACCTCCAAAGGACCTACCAGGTCTGGGAAAACTGCGTAGAAACCTACTAGGCAAAAGAAACTGCAGCCCTACAAGGTCTGTGTGCACACGCAACCTGCGGTGTTCTTTTTCCGACCTCGCGGTGCGAGTGTCTGGGCTGAGCCCGCTTGTCAAGGTGCGCTGCACCTGCCTTCTGCGATCCGCAGATAGGCCGGTGGGCAGCGGAGGCTCCTGTGGCCGGACTGTGCCGGCACTACTGTGCTCTGCACCTGTGTGAAACGGGCGCAGACGAAAAGGCCACTGGCCCTTCAAAACTGTGTCCGAACACTGTTCGGGGGGCACGGGAAAACGCCGCTGGCGTCACTACCAGTCGCGGTAGTTCCAGCGCCGGTCGTGGTCCCAAGACCAGCGACCACGGGACCACTGGTCCCGGTCCTCGTCGTCACGGCGGGACCTCTGGTCCTTGCCTTTGCCCTTGCCCTTGCCGTCTCTGCGGCGGGCCTCCCGATCGCGGTGCTCGCGCTCACGGGCTTCGGCTGCCTCGCGCTGCAAGGTCAACCGAAGGGACTCGGGCGGCCCCCTAGTAGGGCGGCGCTCGCCCCTGTACTCGAGCTTGCCGTCTGTCCGCTGGACAGTGCCTGGGCAAGAGTAGTTCTTTGCGCAGCGTGGGCAATGCATCACGCCGCATTCTGGACACTGCCAGGCCTTGCTGCGACGATCGCCTGTAAACTGTCCCACAGCGCCACTGGCGCTGGGCTGATCATAGGCATGCACTGCTGCCTTGAAGGGGTGGAGCTCGCCGCATGCACTGCATACGAATTCCGATGACGGATCGCTCCAGATGTTCATCTGCATGTTGTCGCAGACCGAACATGCGAAGACTCGCTGCAGCTCCGCCGCTGGCGGACGCTCCGCCGCTGGCGGGCGATCTTCCTGATCGTCTCGATCAGTGTTGTCGTCTGATGCCGGGCCGCTGGCCCGGGTCCCAGCGACGCCAGCAGGGTTGTTGCGCGGGGCCTGCTGGCAGGGACGCGGGCGGGAGCTCTCCCCACGGCGTGCCACTGGCGGTGGGGGAGGCCGCTTGTTGTGGCGTGGGGCGGCAGCCTTCGCAGGCGCCGCTGGCGCCTGGTTCCTGTCGGCTGCCGGCACTGCCGGGCTGGAGGACTTGCGCGCCACCTTGCCCTCAAGGGGAGGGTGCGGCTGCGCTGGCGGTGGCGGGGAGTCGCTCTCCGACTCCGACTCCTCCGAGCGGGAGCCTCGGTCGTCTTCAGTTTCATCCCGCCGCCCGCTGGGCTCCTCCACGTCCATATCCTCTGGCGCTGCCGAGGGAGCTTCCGCTGGAAGCGGTTCTTCTTTGATGCCAGAGCCCGCGTCCTCAGCGGGACTGGTCGGGGAGCGTTGTCGCGAGGCTTGCGCTGCAGCCGTCGCAAGAGGCAAACTGTCCACCGCGCTGCGGTGGCCGTCGGAAGAAACACCACGCGCCGCCACTGGTGGCTCGGTGTTTGCCGGCACCACTGGAGGCTCGTAGCCGAGCAGAAGTCGCTGAAGCGCGACTGCATTGGCTTCTGTGGCGGGCTTCGTCCAACCAGCGAGTTCCGCTGCCTCTGCCGCATTCACCACCACGTCCCCTATCTCTGATAGGGAGACGGCGGCTTCGTAGAGGGCGGCCCGCTGGGCCTCCGGCACTGCGCTGAGCGCCTGCAGCATCTGCTCATTTGTCGGGTTCGCCATCGCTGATGGCAGACAGAGGCTTCCGCTGAAAGCGGGGTTGTTTTGGGCACGGGGGGCGACTTACTAAGCTGAAAAGGCTGCGGTATGAAAGCACTGCTTGAGAACCGACACGGTTTAAGAAGCTGACTCAGCTGAGGAGACCTACCAGGCTCGCGTGACACACGACTGAAAAAGGCTAGCGGCGATCTTTTGCCGCCATTCAAAGCATGCCGTCGGCCCGCCGCTGTGGGCGAGGTTCCAAGTACCTCGGAAACGCCCGCCCTGCAGAGGCTGCCGAGCTGTCGGCGGTGAACCAAAAAGAGGTGCACTGCACCGACGGGGGGCGACTCGCTGAGAGGCCAGCAGCTACGCGCTGCACTCAGTGCCTAACGACGGCCGCCCCTGACGCCGCGGTTTCGGGGTCGCTGACCCCGACTGCTGCGATAGCAGTTGTCGCATTCGTGATGATTGTGGGGGCTCCTGCCCACTGAGCAGTGCCGCCCACAAATCGCCATACCCTGGGAGATGCAGCCCTGCTGCGCGCAAGGCATGCAACACATGAGGTCGCCGCGCCTCTCCGGGTATCTCTCCCATCTCTCTGAGTTGGGGGCTGCCCAGTAGGGCCATTCGTGCACGTCTGTGACGTGCAGGTGCGGCGAGACCCTTCTGGCGTGCGCTACTAGCGCACGCAGGCCGGGGTACCTGTTGTCGGTCGCTGACCCGAGGTTACGCCAATCGTTATTTTGGGGGTCCTCCCCAGGCTGAAACTGCCAGCCTCGCTGGCGATTGCGACGCTGCGGTCTGGAGACGACCACAGTGTTCGCGTTCGGCGCGAACGGCACTGCCGTTGCGGCCTGGCTGCTAGCCAAGGATACCTCGGAGTCTCCCGAGTTCTGATCACTGTCAGTGTCGATAACTTCAATGGCCGGCTCCGCCGCTGGCGGGGCGACGTCGGCAGCTTCGGCTGCGGGCGGGCTGCCTGTTGTGGCCGCAACGGGCTTGGTAGGGGCGGCCGCTGGCGGCGGCAAGGGAGGGTCCGAGGCTGATGCCGACGCTGTCGGCAGAGCAGTGCTGGACGAGGCGGTGGGGTCAGTACTGCCGCTGGCAGCTTTGTGGGTCTTTTTCTTTTTCTTCTCCGAAGGGAGAATCTTGACCCAACCACCCTTGCCTTTGCCCTTACCCTCTGGGTGCCAATGGAAGCCGCTGGCTTCAACCTTAGGAGCCACGTGGCCCTCTAGGGCGTCCACCCAATTGAGTCTCCACTGGAGCTTGGGGACATTATCTTCCTCCCCACTGGGGGGCCAGTCAAAAAGGCCGGTATACGGCCAGCCAGGCGTGGCCGCTGGCCGCATAGGCACGTCGCGCTGCGACATAGTATACCGGTGCATCGGGTAGGCACTGCCTGAGGTGTCCGGTTGTTCCCCTTGCATCTGCGCAAAAGGGTAGAAGGGGGGCCAAACTTTGGACTCCCCTTCCCCCGCTCGATTCAGGGGTTCGTGGTCGTCGCTGACGACAGCGGGGTCTACCCGCATGGCACAGCTGAGGGCCCAAAGGAGATAACTTATCTCCTGTTGTGCCATTTCTTCACGCATGGCCTGCTCTAGCACAAAAATTGGATTGCACTGCAAAAAGCGGAGGCAGGAGCGACACTGTCGCACGCGTTGCAGGCATTGTGGCGCTGCCAACTGATTTTCTCGACCGTCCCTTCTAGGGTACGGCGCCTCTGGCGACTCAGCCGCATACGTGCGGGCTGCTTGGTCAACCATAACTGGCACTGACAGTTATATCAAAGGGAGTGGAAGGTCGTCGCTGACGACCCCCACTGCTGCGGAGCACTACAAGCTACTCTATAAAAATTTTTTGGATCACAGATCCAACTCCAAGCCGAAAGCTGCACGGCAAAGTTTGTCTAGTGTCACTCACACACAAGTGAAAACACTGTTTTCCTTTTTCGACAAACTTTGTCTACACTTTCGGCGGAAAATAAAACCCATTCACGCACGCATGATGGATGCATAGTTTTTTTTGTGTGGATACATATGCCGGCATGTATGCATGTATGTATATATATGTATATATATATATATAAGCCTCTCGGCTCATGATGTGTGAGCACCGGCTTCGGCTGGTCCAGAGGCCCGTAGTGTTTTGGCGTGGGGTTGGCTTGGGGTCAGAACGCATTGACGAAGTTCTTGGGGCTCTTTCGTTCAGGGCATGCCTCTCTCATGGAGTCCTGTGATGCGATGGTGGAGTGTGCTCCACATGGCCGGAACAAGATTCCTAAGCTGCCTCGACGACTGTGTGGGTTATGCCACCTTGATAATCTGGTTCAGTATGCAATCATGGGCCAGCTTTGTCACCAATGGCAGGACATACCTGAAACTGTCAGGCAATGCAGACAAAGGACCCTACTGGCCCGATGGCGCGACCTGGGAGCATTTTGTGTTCTCTACGAGGGTTGGATTCTTCTGGACCTTCAGGGACAGATGTTTGTGTTGCAACGACTGCTTGACAAATACCCAGAGTTCACACAAACCACATGGGTGGCCATTTGCCTCTCGCTTCGTCCTGATCTGGACCAAATGGACTAGACTGCTGCGACGCAGCATAGTCACAGTGCATCGAAGTCTTCGAGGGGCCATGCGGCTGCACTATCCTCACGGCTCGGCTCTCGGCCTTCAATTCTCACAAGCTCTACGAATTGCCTGCTGGCCCGGGGTTCTTCTCCTGCTCCTCATGGCTGGCGGGTCCAGTGGACTCGTATGGATAGTGGGGCTTCAAGCTTCCAGGTGCTCCTGTGCTGGACTTCTCCGACGAGATCTACCTGGCGGAACTCATATCGTTCCAGCTCGACATCGTCTCGCGAAGTGCCCCTCCGAAGTGTTGATGCAAGCAGCAAGCTATGCCAGTAGCAGATACCTTGCAAAACTGCTCCAGTGTAACCTTGCATGGCCTCAGGCTCAAGTGCTTAGGGTACTGCAGTGGCCTGTCGGGATGCCCCTTTCCAACTGGAAAGGGTCGGACTCCGAGTTCGAGGAAGTGTGGCTTGAAAGTGAGGACGACGCTCCGCTACCAGCAGATCGCTCAGGAGCACCTCGCGGCCCTCCCCCACCTCGACCAGTTCAAGATGATCAACCGGTGGCCCACGCCATTGCCAACGCCGTGGCCCACACCATCGGCTTCCAAGGCAAGACGATTCTCACGCTAATTCCCCATGGCCTCCGAGGCATTCAGGACTTGACCATCGAAGTACGGAACAGGTCCCGCACTGAAAGAGATCACCCGAATGTGTTGGACTTCAGTGAGGTGGACATCGGGGATGGTGGTGATGACCTCGCGGACAGCGGGGAATCGAGACTACGGCCACACCCAGGCTGCAGCCGAAGCCGAAAGCGAAGCCGCGAACCGCGGTCAACCGGAAGTCCGGCCCTTATTCAATTGCTTCAGTCTGTTGCCTGTGCCCCTCAGTCGCCCGGGGTAGTCTCTGGGCCAGCCAAGCACACTCAGGCGACAACGAACGAACACTGAGTAGCTGCATAGACTGGGGTAGCAGGACTGCCAGAACCGGCGTGCTGGTCGTAACTTTGGCTGCCTGTGGATGCAGTGTAGCCGTCCACTCTGGACAAATCTGGCGACCATGCTGGCACTCTTTGCAAAATGTTGTCAGCCTGCCTCTTCATTCAACCTGTCAACATGCTCGGTGTCTTCTACCCTGCCTACCACATTGATGGCCAGGTACAGTTCGCCTTCGTCCATGAATGCCTGGCCGGTGACCTTATTTCTGTGGTTTGCTTTGCTCGGTGGCACTGTATACCTCTTCGCACACCTGATCAGGTCCTATGCTGGCCGAGGCTACAAGACGGAGACGAAGGCTGGTGGAGACGGCCTCACTCATAAGCGGCCTGCAGATATGCCTCGACCAATCAGTCACGGATCAGGCACCACATCGACTCACTACGGGATCTCTTCGAAACATCGTTGTCGGAGCCGTCCGGGTCCCAAGTCCCGGAACTACTGTCGTCTGATGAGCAGCCAGATGGTTCGCATAGCGGTGCATGTTCAGCTAGCTCTCCTATTCTTGATGATCACCCCGACGACAGCAGTAGAGGCGAGGGTTGGGTCTCCCGAGCACCCAGGGAACCCTGAAGCCAAATCTGCTGCCTCTCTCTTAGCAGACAAAAGGGCGAAGCATTCGGGTGACGTCAGTCACAGCTTCCCGCGCAAACACTGCGCTCATCCAATCCGCAAACGTGCCTTCGCACGTGCTATCCACAGAGCAGAACACAATGATCAGCAAACTACCTGGTATCGAGGTCGTCGAGTCCGGCTTGATCAGCTTCTCGCTAACTCTCATGACCAACCTCGACAGACTCACCCCATGCCACTGCACCAACCCGCACGACGTGATCCCTTGCCCAAGGCCAGAAGACTCCGGGTGATCACCTGGAACGCAGGCGGGCTGAACAGTGTGGTGTACAACGAAGTCCTCACATGGTTGCAGCTAGAATCCGATGCCCAACGTCCTGTTGATGTCTGTGTCATGAGAAAGCTGGCATTCTATGCCTCGTCAGAGCAGGGCTTCTTCCTGCAGAAAACATCCGGACGGCCACTGTTGTGGCTGGGAGGCTCTTCCATGTCCGGCTCTTGCTAGAAGCTCCGCTCGATATACTATGCATCTACCAGCACTCCTGGAACTTGCAAAAGGTCGGACTTCGTGGCCCCAACAAGCAGGAGGCACTGCTCAAGCAACGAAGGCTCATCTGGGATCACATAGATAAATGGCTTCGTTCGACACCGCAAAGAAATGGCTGCCTGCTCCTAGGAGACATGAACCAGTCACTGCGCGAGGACCATCCCACATGCGGGCCGGGCTGCTTGCCTAATCCGGCGCCTCACCCAGATCAAACTGTTATACTGGACTTACTCCGTGCCCATCGGTGTTGTGTGCTCAACACATGGTCCAGATCTGGTACTTCGGCTCGGACCTTCTTATCACCTCAAGCCAGTGAAGATCGGCATGGAACTCAGCTGGACTACATTGTTACTCGTGGCCCACTGGTTGATAGTATTGCTAAGCAAGCTGCCCCCCTAGATGCACCGTTTGTGCCGGTGACTGGAGCCAGACACAGACCGGTCAGCTCTTCTGTGCCGTGCCCCAAGATCCCCAAGCAGCGTCATCAACGGCCACAACTTGGTATACACAAGGTCCGGCAACAACTTCGCGATCCTGGTTTCGCCGCGGCCCTACAAGGTGAAGTCCTTGCGCACCTTGAATGTCTCCCGGCTCAACATTCCATTGATCAACTCCTCCTTGAAGGTTGGACCCGAGCTGGACGAACCGATGATCAAGGCCCCTCCAAGCCGGGTGCTGTTCGACCCTAGTGGCCCTCTTACACTACAAGTGCAAGAGATGTGGATGCTCCGGGGGCGGCTTAAACACCTTAGTCAGGTTGGGGCTCTCTGGAGCCGTGACGGGCCAGCACTGGCTCATCTCTTCCAGGCCTGGGCTGTCTCGACCAAGCTCCAGGTGCACACTGAGGCTGTCAACTCGACTGACATACACCAGGCAGCCAAGAAATTTGCACCCAAGGCACCACGTCGGCGCCTTCAGCTTCGTACAGAGACGGGACGTCTACAGACCCACGAAGAGGAGTTCATGCAGATTGTAGACTACTTCGAGACACTATATCATGGTCCGATGCCGCTCACTCCACCCTGCCTTCCTCAGGATCTTGACATCAAGCATTAGGAGGTGCTCGAGGCGATGGGTCGTGTGCAGGCGGGCAAAGTGCTTCCCTCTACAAGTGCTCCTTCAGCTATCTGGAAGCTCTTCCAACCGGAGGTAACTCCGGCCCTCACCATGCAGCTCAACCATCACCTGAAGGCTGGAGCCACAGAACTCCCCATGGAGTGGAACATCAGTGTGCGTGCGAGTCAAGCCCACAGCCCACCAGCCACCCCCTGGACACCACCTGTTGGTACTGTGGCAGGAGCAAAAGCTTCCAAAAGCAAAAGCGGAAAATCAGGATATGTAAAATCCGGAATCCAATATCTTCGTATAGAAATGAATCATCGGAGCTCGAAACGCTTGACATGTGGAATGCAGGACTGTTGACATGCAGAAGCGGACATCTCTCATTTTTCCCGAAGGATGGATCGGAGTTCCCATTCGGCGGAGAGCACATCATGACCGTAGCGCTTTAAGCGAAAGACGGTCTTCCCAAGAATCAAGATGTGCCCAGCACCAGGGTTGGGAGGGTGGGAGCTTCAGAACTCACCACTTGACCCTTGTGGCTACAAACGTCACGACATGATTCTCATGTTGCACAGCTCACAAAGTCAAAGACTTCCAAGTAAAATAAATCAGTTCAAAAACTTTTTGGGATAAAGAAACCTTGTTTTCTTTTCCCAGACACGACGGTACACAAAGTGTACCGAAAGCACGTGGGTTTGAAGGGCACACACACTGACGCAACAAGTCGCGAACGCGTGCGTGCGAGTCAAACCCACAGCCCACCAGCCACCCCCTGGACACCACCTGTTGGTACTGTGGCAGGAGCAAAAGCTTCCAAAAGCAAAAGCGGAAAATCAGGATATGTAAAATCCGGAATCCAATATCTTCGTATAGAAATGAATCATCGGAGCTCGAAACGCTTGACATGTGGAATGCAGGACTGTTGACATGCAGAAGCGGACATCTCTCATTTTTCCCGAAGGATGGATCGGAGTTCCCATTCGGCGGAGAGCACATCATGACCGTAGCGCTTTAAGCGAAAGACGGTCTTCCCAAGAATCAAGATGTGCCCAGCACCCGAGCATCGCCGTAGCCGAATGGTACCGAAGAGTCACCACCTCGTGCGAGGCTTCTTCCGACTGGTGGCCTTCGCCACCGGCTGCCTCTTGTTGTGCGCCGCAGCCTTCGCTGCAACAAGCTCACCATGAAAACCATTTGCCGACTTCAAGAGGTCTCCCAGAACGATCCAATCAATCTGGTCGCCCAAAATCTCTAGCCTCTTTGAGGGATCAAAACGATCGAAACGAAGATTGGTGAGATCGTCCGCCCACACGTTAGATTCCCTAGGAACCCATGACAAGTCAAGAGAGAGGTTCATCCCCCGTAGCGTCTCCGAGAGCTCCATCAGCAGCAAGGGCAGAGGATACCGCGTTGACATCAGCTTGGATACCGCATAAGAGTTCCCCTGATTGTCTGTGCCACCGGTGATGTGGCCGCACCCGCCACCGCTGCCCTTCATCTTGGCGCCCCAGAGTTTGACGCAGATGAGAGTGCCCAAGAGTTCCAGACTCGCAATGGTGCGTTTCAGGTCCCCCTTCACGTAGGCCCACGGTGCCCAGGATTCAAGGACCTCCAGAGCGAACCACTGCAGTGCCGATTCCCCGTCCCACAAGTAGCCGCCGATCCATGCGCGGTCCTCCTCGGCCTTGGCATCCGAGTAGAAGCTGAACTTGTTCATCCCCTTTTGTAGCCGCTCCGGAGGCGGTTCCTGGAGCCGGTCCTCTCCCCGGAACCTCCCCGACATCCAATGGAGGATTGTCCTTAGCATGACCGGGATCTTGAGAAGCCCTCTGCTCCCCCGCGTGGCAGCCGACCAGGAGTAAAGAGGACCGAGGAACGGTCTCTCCCAGGAGAGGGCGTTCGCTCCAAATCCCAGTCTGCCCAGGCCGCATGCAAAATCATCCCAAGTCACGCTGCCCTCTCGAGAGATGCGTAAAGTCCAGTCAGCGAGCCAGGTCGCCCGTTGCAACGAGATTCCCAGCCGGAAAGAGCTGTAGGATGTCTCATAGCCCACCCATTGGACCGTCAGTCCTCCTTTTGTCTTCGACCACTTGAAGGGGAAGCCCAATGCAGCCAGGAGGGCGTATGAGAGGACAATGCCCCTTCTTCCCGCCTTGTCGCCCCCGATCATCTCCACGTCGTCGGCGTACAAAAGGATCTCCAGGGCTCGCCTTCCAGTCAAGTGATGGATGAGCCTGATCGAACCCCCAGAGAGTCTCGCCCACCAATAGCCCGCGCAAGCGAGGCCGAATGTGCCCACGCAGTTCAAGTAGACGATGGAGTCCCCGGAGGAAGCTTTGCAGCCCAAGTACCCCCACTCGTCCCGACGGTGCCGGTATCTCCTGTGTGCCTTCGCAATGTCGCCGGTGACCGCCATCGGAGCCATCCGCTTCTCCTTGAGGCGGCGCAGCAAGCATCTTTTCTCCCGGGCTCCGGGAGATCTCACTTTGTCAAGACAGCGGATCCTGTGGTTCAGCAACACGTCATGCGATGCATCATGTACTATACGCTGTTTTAGCGGCGGGCCCTCTTCAGTGAGCACCGCGATGGCAGAGATCGCCGCCTCCTCTCCATATGTAGCCCAAAACTCGGCCTCCCCCATCCGGACCATCAAGCCTTCCTGCACTTCTGCTTCGAAGTGCTCCCTGACAAAGTCCAGGTTCTTCTCTGCCGACTCGTAGTTGGCCTTCCATGAATGGGCCACGTCTAAGGGGCCCACCTCCAGCTTCCATTTAGTCTGCGGCTCGAAGACCTCCGGCGTGCGCGGCAAGGGGCGCTTGATCCCCACGGTGAAGCCATCAATCGCCTCCAAGAAGACCTTCCAGTCCGGGTCTGAGGCATCTCGAAGAAGGCCCGCCAGCAACCTCAACCGGAATGGTTGTCCCGGGTCGATGGTCCCCAAGTCCTTGACATCGAAGCCCTTTGCCCCGAGGTGGGCCACCATGATCGCCACGAGCTTCTCATGCAGCGTTGGGTCGGAGACCAGCTTGCACCCGGCCTCCCCGCGGGTCGCCATCTCGAAGGTCGCACGATCCAGTTTCCGCTCATCCCCCGCGTGCTCCAGCAGGGCCTCCTCGAGCTGCTTTCGCAAGATGTCCCAGCCCTCGGCCGCACAGTATCGACGCCGCTCGGGATCCCAGCGCCCCGGCGAGCAAAGGCCCGCCCCATCGTGGAAAGGCCGGCTCCCCCAGGGCTCGTGGCACACCCGCGCCGGCCCGTCGCCACCCGGCACGGGTGGCCATGTCGGATCTATTTCCGGCTCTGCCCCACCAGACTGCTGCCCCGAGGGCAAGACGAAACTTCGCTCCATCAAGATCTTCCTGTCCGCCGGCAAGAGCTTCTCGGGGTCCTCGATGGTGTAGCCGGCCAGCACCAGCCTGGTTCCAGTCCAGGGTTCCGTCGTGTGCCACTGCTGCGCATTGAAGGTGATCCTTCCCTGCTTCCACTCCCGGACAGTGCCTTCCACACTCCAGCCCTGCACCTGCCTCACATCGGTACCTTCGCCTTGCACCCAGAGCCCGCCTCGCTCGAAGGTAGAGCAAGCTGGCAGTAGGTTGTCCCAGGGCCCATTCGAAGAGTCTCGGTGCAAGGGCTGCTTGAGATCCCTGAAGAGCGCCAGTGAAGTGAAAGGCCGTCCTGGAAAGGCTGCCGCCATCACCCTCGCCAGTAATTCACTGCTCCAGCGGAAATCCTGCAGGTTTCGGCGGAGACCCGCCTTCCCCTCGTGCACATAGCCACCCGTCGTAAATGATCTCTGTCCCTCCACGTGGACTTCAGATTTGCGGATCCTGGACTCATCCGGAAGGCTAGCCGAAAGCTGGAGCAGGCCCTCCTCAGTGATAAAGCCTTTGCGAAGGGCCTCCAAAGCCAAACGCTCGGCCTCTCCCAGTGTTCCCTTTGCTTCCGGGTTCATTGCTGCCGAGGGCTCGAAGCGAAATATGATCTGTCCCGCGTCATCTCTCGCCAAGTCCCCCAGGTCTGCCTCTGGCTCCAAGTTTGACACACCCCCTCCGGAGGCGATGGAGGCAGAGGCCAGGTAGTCGTTCAAGATGGATTCGGCCGTCCATTTGCACATGTTCGCCGGCCAGCGCTCGGTGCCCGTGGTGGCGAAAGGCATCCCGGAGCGGGCCTTCATGGCAACTGCCCAAGGATGTCGCTGCAGCGGTCCAGTGTAGAAGCCGCGGTCGTCGAAGGTTGGCTGCCCCTGTCGCATGAAGGCCGGAAGCGTAGCTCGGGAACGCAGTAGCAACCTCGTAGGCTTGGGGAAAGTGGTGCCGAAATCAGCTTGATGAAAGGCGACGTGTCTCACCGCTTCGTGGTCCGCGAGACGGCGGAAAGAAGGACGTTGCCACATGGACGACGGCCGCTGCCCCAGTGCCACAGCCCCAAGATCCTCTGGTTGCTCCAGCAGCACGAAGGAAGAAGGCAGGTCCAAGCCCGCCCCTGCCACCTGCATAGCGAAGTCGGCAAGGTTATTGCCCAGGCGCGCTTTCCGTCGCTCTGCCCAGCGTAGGTGAGGCAACCCATCCGGATGTGCATAGGAGCGCAGAGGACGCGGTCCCCTCTTGTTGCGCCAGGGGGCTCGACTGAATGTCGAGCACGGTGGGCTCAAAACGATGGCAAAGTAAGTGCCATCTCGAACTTTCCGAAGATAATGCTGTTGGGTTTCGGTTTGAGACAAGTCGACAAAAGGTTTACGCAAAATATCAACAGCCTCCACCTTAAGTGGAACGCCATAACTAGGTGCCAATTTTTCAAGCCAAGCTTCCAACGACCCCTTTCGCGGTCGCCCTGAGAACAGGTAAAGAATGCGCAGCTCGCCGTGAAACGCTGCTCCCCCATCTGTGCCGAGTCAGCTCTTGCCGGCCGTGTCGCCAGCTGGCTTCCGCTTGGTGCATCCCACAAAGTTGTGATTCTGATCGAAACAATGGCTGCACACATGCTTGAACTTACAA